GGGCAGAGGTTGACGACGCTGGAGAATAAGTTGTGGAATGAGGAGGGGACGGAGACGCAACAGAGAAGGTGGGAGAAGGAGAAGACTCAGCTGGAGGCGGAGAAGAAGAGCCTGGAGGCGGACAAAAGGGAGTGTAGGCAGCAGGTGGAGGAGCTGCAGCGAGCCCTCACGGCAGCAATAACAGCTCAACCAGGTAACGACTTTGTGACTCGGGCGTTGGGGACATAGAGAAGTGTGTACTAGGGTAGAGTACATAGATTAGAGTTATGATAACTTGCGACATCTACTTCTTTCTGTAAGCAAAATCATTTATTATGAAATATTAACCAAGTCATGATTATTCTCAGGGGCCAAACGTAAGATCGTAGATGATGAATATGATGAATTGAATAGCTATCTTAAACGAATTAAAGAGGGACCTTCACCGTCAGAATATTCTGGAAGAGGAAATAAAGGCTGGCCTTCTGGACAGTTCGGTGAAGATCCTTTATACTTAAATCACCGCCCGGCTTCTGCGTCTGGAAATCCTGTTGCAATCTATCATCCAGTATTTGAGAAATTTGTGAAAGATTGCCGAACCGCTGTTCTCACACAGGAAACCTATGATCATGTTGTAGAACTTACTGAAAGCATGTCTGATGCGTTCCGTAATGAAGATTTACAAACAGACGAGTTTCACCGTTTGCTAGAAAGGTTTAATATAACAGTCAACAGAATTGGTATTGATAAGTGCACAACGGATGGTACCGCGTTGGCTGGAGATGGATGTTTTTTTGTTATCAATGTTGAAGTGAAGCCTGAACTTGGGGAAGGAAATGGCTGTCCATATATTCAGGGCATTGTATATTACGGGAAGAGAGTAGCTCATTATCTAGAGACAAGGAAAGAACAACGGACACGTTTGCCTTGTTTTATCTTGTACTTAGCAGGTAAGACTAACAGTTTGTATGGTATGATAACTATTTTATTTAAATTCTAACTGCTTCTTGCATCAGGCCCATTTCTCGGAGTTGCAGGTGTCATCTATAGCCATGGTAAAATATTGGCCGACCCTCTAATCGGACCTATCCCATTGATGTTGCTTCGATATGACAGGGAACAAATGATGAAAATTGCGCGAGTGTTCACTGCTCTCGAATCAGCCTATAACACGCTTCACGAATATTACAATTCTCCTGAAACAGGTCCACAATCACTGTGGCCCTATTATCAAGCATTCAATTATCAACACAAGCAGGTGGAGTTCGAATATAGAGAACAGCTGTATAAGGATAAGTTACTTTTTGTGGTGGAAACCAAACAAAATCCAGACATCCCTGGCCTGCCTCGGAGATTACTTGTTAAGTTTACAGAGTCCTATGGGGAAGCGGTGCACCAATTCTGTGCTGATCGTGGATTTGCCCCTAAACTATTCGAGTGTTACAAACTCTCTGTGCGATGGAAAGTGGTAATAATGGAATACTTGGAGGATTATGTCAACTTGTATGATGCAGTTGATGCAAAAGCTGAGTGGAAAGAGAAGATTAAAAAATCCATCGAGGAAATGCACCGTGCTGGATTTGTGCATGGGGATTTGCGAAAGCCCAATATTCTTTATCAAGAAACAGGTGAATCTATAAATGTAGTGCTAGTCGACTTCGATTGGGCGGGTGAGGCTGGCAAGGTCTCTTATCCTTCCTTCTTGAACATTCAAAGTGTCAGAAGACATTCTGATGCAAGATCTGATAAGGTTATTACTCCAGAGCATGATATCTTTAGTTTAAGTACATTGATGTAATGTTAGTATGCATTTGTAAATATCTGAGCGCGGTTTAACTACCAAGAGAAACTCAATAAATAAATAGTTTAGATCTCACCAGTTATCAGAACTAATACCTTGCTATTAACTTTATCATTTTTGTGAAGTGATAAAACTATATATAGGATTACCCGTATATGAACAATAATAATTACAACGGTTCGACTGAATTTGAAAAAGCAATACGTTTCTTGGAAATAGGTTGCAATTGTGGTTGCTCAAAAACGATTTCGAGAAAAGGGTTTGCCGAATTACGTGAGTCGTTTCAAGCTCTCTCTAGATCCGAACAAGACATATTTTTAATGGCCCAACTGAAAGCAATGAATGGTGGAGAAATAACTGCCAGTCGACGTCTTAAAAAGAAAACGCGTACTAATAAGAGAACTTT